ACCTCCCCAGATTCCGAGTTGGTGAACTACAGCCGATGGCTGATGGCGCAGAAAGATCGCGCCAACATGTCTCCTCCAATCAAAGACATGAACGCCTATCTGTTGGCATTCACCGAGCTGGCAGAGACCGCATCCGATCGTTTTCCTGACAGCACAGTGCCACGCCGGTTCAAGAAGTAAGCTGCGATGAGAGATGAAAGGCCGAGATGGCTGCCCGAAGAAGAATGGCTTTCAATCCATGACACGACTATAACCTCAGTGGAGATTCGAACTTTTGGAAGCTTTAGAGTTTTACCAGTCGCTTTGTCCACCCGTGACATCGAGGAACCTTCGGCCCGAGGCAGGAAAGAAGTGTCCGTTCGTGGCCCCTAGGGAGGGGCGACTACTCCGCAATATATATATATACAACACCAACAAGTTAAAGACGATAAAAACTTAGGAAAAGACGATAAAAACTTTCGGGCAACAAAAGTTTTTGACAGTCACACTTTCTTGAAACTTTCGAGGAAAATGCAACGCAGTAAAACGGAGACATTGATTTGTAGGGCAAGACTTGTGCAAGATTTGTTGACATGTGCTCACATGATTTGTTCAACGCCGCAAACCCAGTAAAGCTCCAATTTGCATGGCTCAAGATCACAATTGTCATCCACATACAGGGATTGCGTTCGAATCCACATTTCTCATGGGTTCAGCGCAAGCTGCACTTCCCGCAACCAAAAGGTCCAACACCGCACAGAGGGCTTTGCAGTAGGCTTTGTTGCACAAGGCGCACTTGCGTCCAGGCATGATATCGTTACCGTTTGGTTGATGCAGCAATGATTGAATCTCAACATGCTGCATCCCACACAGCCAGCCGCTTGGTGAGGCCACCAACGTTTCCACCCGCCTGATGGCAGTTCCACACGCCCATCACAAGTCTTTCACTGGCCCAACTGTTTGTTGAGAGAGGTGATGTGTTATGATGTCCTTGAACACCACTTGGACCCAACAAGCATCCTCTTTCTCACCCAGCTGCCGGACATTCTTCACTCCAACCGCTGCTCTTCGGATCACCAGCCGCTTGCTTCATCTTTCAACCGCAGCTTATCACCCAACGGCTCAAGAGACGGCGGGCGCGAACCCAACGCGCAGCCGCGAGACCGTTGCCAGGCGGGGATGTTGCGGTTGATGGGAACTGGTGACCCTTGTTGAAGGAGAAAGACCTCGGAGCAAAAGACCAATTATGTAGACTCTCGAAACAAACCATTTGGATTGTAAAACCTCTGGGGCTTATTCATCCGCACTCTGCATTCATCCAAATCTCTGTACTCTGCATAGTCCACCCAAATCAACCCCAAATTGACTGGTTGACATGTCCTATTCGGGGTCTTGTCCTCGTTGGTGAACAGTTTCACTTCAGACACCCTGAAAGATCATGGGGATACCTCCCACCGCATCCCACCACTTGGGGACTCCTGCCGCCTTGTTGTTTTGCTACATTTTCTCTTTGTTTCACATGACATTCAAAGGTTTTTGAACTTCAACCTCCCGCCACCGGGCTCTGGTTCTGGACTCCTCCTTCAGGGCCACCGGGCGCCGGCCACACGACTCTCCAACGAAGTCGTCTCGGCCAAAGACGCGGACGGGACCTCCTTGGCCTCGTGACTTGGAGGCCGCCAGCCAGGCGGATGTTTAATAAACGAGATATCAAAAGACCGAGTTTAAGAGCATGAAAAGATATGAAAAGAGTCCTAGATATTTGTCTGATTCTTTTTCATGTTTCTTCCAGGATTTTTGGACTCAAAGGCACAGCCACCGGTCCAGAGATGCCCGGCTTGGATGGAGCATGAAATTCAATTCCCAAGTCCATGCCATGCAGAGATTTCTGTCCGACCTTCAGTTGGCTGGGGTATGTTCTACAAGCTCGACGTGTTGGCTGGGTAGTCCCTTGAAGTTTCTCTTGAAAGTAAACGGATTCGATGTACTTCTGCCTAGATTGTTGAACGACTCCCCATCTCTCAGTGTTGACGGGTCCTGATTTGTCACTTCCCAGACTCTCCATCGTATATGCCTACATTGACTCCTTTTCAACCACCCCAACTGATCAGCAAATATGGCTTGAAACCCAAACGAGTGTTTGGGTTTGAAACCCAAACGATGAACATGTTCCATTCTCACTACACACCAACAGACTGGGCTTTCACAGACTGGGCTTTCATTACACAGGCCTTGGTTGGTCAGATATTAAAGGAGCCAGCATCTAAAGAGACCAAAGATCGGGAAGAAGGACTGGGGAGCCACAGGACCAGAGGACCAGAGGCTTTGGTTCTGGCCAAGTTTGTTCTTCGGGCTTATGACCCAACCCACGAATTGGTGTCGGAAGAGCAGCAACATGCAGCGGCCGGTTTTGTTTTCCTTAAATTTAATTGTGGATTTGCCCGGTTCTTGGAACATGGACACTTTTCTACCAGGGCGTTTGGGTCTAGATTGTTTCAACATTGGGAGTCGACACAATTGTATGGGAAGCCTTCCAAGACCTAGCCATCCCTTTCTCGCCTTCTTGCCGCTGCTCCCAGTGTCGCGGTTTTCTCAACTCTCCGAGTGCTTCCGACCCGGTGTTCGCCATGGCACGTGCCCTGCTACTGGCCTTGATGCTGCGCGGCAGCCTGGCTTCTCCCTGTCCAGGCATGTTGTTCGAGGGTCGATGGGTCGATTGGTTTGGAGAAGAGTGGTTCGGCTGCGGGAGTCGCTTTTGAGGCGCACAACAGGATGTTGAAGGCTGCCGTTTGCTGTTGGGTCCAGATGCTACGTACATGGTCGGAATCCTTTAGATGGATTCCATACACCACATAATTCCAAGAGAACCAGACTCCCTCCGGCAGATTCCAAGTTATATATTATAGAAGATTCCAAGTTAGAATTCCATTCCTTAATTGATTCGAGAAAGAGGGAGCATTCCAAGTTATATTTAAGACACCAGGTGACAGGTAGTGTAACTCGAACGGTAACGCTGCTGGGCTTTACGCCATCCCATTGCTTTGGTAATTCTAGGAGGCCCCAACTGCCTCATCCGATTGAGACAGCCACGTATCTCCGACACATGATCTTATCAATTTCGTTCAATCGCCATTTCCATACAGAAACAGCTGTGCCATTGCCCTCCAAATAACATTTCCCCGCCATGGCCGACGTGGGAAGTTACAGGGGGCAAGCAGTACAAGTTCAATGAGCACGGTTGTTTCTGCATGTCTAAGAAGAAGAACTTAGACGATATACAACATCCTGACATGAATCACTGCAGGTGCTTGAATTCAGGACAGATAAGGACCGTGTAATTCTCCATTTGGCATAAGCCTTAGAATGTCTTAGAATCTCCGTCCAAGTTGTTGCATTTCTTGGTATTTCTTGGTCATCTTTGCCATACACCCAGTGCTGTCTTCTTAGCCCTTTTTATGCTTTGTTTGTTCGGTTTCGCTGTACATAGGCAGGTAGCTCTTTTAAATCTCCGCTTTTTGTCACCTGGTTCTTTCCACCCATCAACACCGTGAGCTTTTTGGTGGCGTTTGGGCGTTTGGGCGTTTTGGTTTTATCTCGTGCAGTGGTCGGTCCTGCCAGGTGAACTGGGAGGGTTTGAGCTCCGTCGGTCGCGGTCGTTTTCTCGTGTTGGTCTGAACGGACCAGTCGTGTTTTACTGCCGGTGCAGGCATCGCCTACAGCGTGCCCCCCCCAGAACTACTACGTGGTCCCGGAGCTCCCGGTCTACGACAAGTCGTTGAAAGAGTTGGATTTGAAGGCAGGGTCACCTGCCAGGGGTGGTTTTCATCAATGGTTTAGTCGCCAAAAAACTCTAATCACCATATATGGTATGACAAAAGCCTGGAGTTCACAGTTGGGTGGTTTTCGTGGGACCCCCAAGTGAGTGGATGTGATAGGACCATTGACAGGGGCACCTCTATGTTTGTTTGGTTTGGAACTCCTGGATCCTCAGGTCATCTCAGGCCAAAACGGTCCAGCCCAGGACATGTGTTTTTCTTTGAAAGATTAGTCTGTACCAGGGTGGTCTGGAGGTCGGAGGTCTCCGATCCAAGCCGATTCACGCCGGCCATTGGAGAGATCGCATTTCCCCAAATGGACGACTTGTAGTGTAGGAGAGGAGAAACATGGTTGAAAGGTTCCGGATTCATCCGGATTCCTGAAATCCGTCTTCTTTAATCCGCCTGGGTCAGGCGGATAATTACCGGATACATCAGGATCAAGAACTCGGTCATGTTCTCATTTGGCTTTTTAGGGAGGGGATTTCGTAGCAGTGATTTTACAAGTGCGGGAGTGTTGCACTTGTCAGATTTACCGATCTCTACTGAGGGTGGTTCTACTTGTACCGTATCACCGGCCATCCACAACAGAAACACCTAGTACCTCATCCATTGCAAATTCCCAAACCTGGAAGCTACCTGCTAAGTTTCAACCACATATATTGTAAAACAACAAGTGTTTCAATCACATTCGCGAATATGCCACAAAGTCTACAAAGTCCTGGGCAAAATCACTGTGCAAAGCCCTTTGCTTGTCTCTTGTCACCGGGGGCCACTAGAGAGAGTCAGGGAAAGGACATGGGGGTCCAGCGGGCCCAGATGTTGTATTGTTGAGAGATGTTTCGAGAACGGGGAAGCATGGGGATTTCTTTCTATCGAAGGTGGGCGTCTGTCACGTGCGTTTTATTTGACTGTCATGAGGAGACATTTCATCAACTATTATGACGGTGATGATGTTCGATGCATCACAATTCTTGGGGATGCAACAACCTTTACACAGCGGTCCAGAAGCTCTGCGGCCGTGCAGTGTGTGCAGGCGGTTGTGGCCGACATGCAGAAGCTCTTTCTGGACTCCCAGGCGCTCGTGGCTGGCGCGTGAGTGCGGGTGTCAGGCGGCGTGTTCCAGGTGTGATCGGGTGCAAAGGCCTGAAGAAAGGCTTCATATACTGCAGCTGAGTGAAGATCTGCAGTACGCCTAAGCTTCAGGTTCAAAAGATTCTTCTTCTCACTGACCTGTTCTGGTTTTCACCCTAAACCCGCTGAAGTTTTGCTAGAGGTTTGAAAATCACTCAGCACATCTTGACCTGCACATTGCGGAAAAAAAATAGAACACACAAAGAGAAAACAGGAAACAGAGGTCATACAGCCATAGCAAACGCAAAAGCACACGAACAATCTTAGCAAAAGCATGCAAAGAGTACCTGAGCAACTTTGATCTGGAGACCAGTCCTACCTTTGTCCTACCTTTTTTGACTCCCCTGGAAGGACTTCCTGTCAAGCACTCTTCCAAAAACCGAGAGGGGAAGGAACACCATCCTGCTAGAAGTTGCACGAGTTCCCAGTTCTCGCCCAAGTCAAGCAGCTGACTGCCTTTGGGGTGGACCTTTTTTGTCGAATTTACATGAATTTACATTCCCCCCTTGCCAAATATGGCAAGCAACATGTACTTTTTGTCGATGAATTGCCTCTGCCGGTACAAGATCGGTTTGGGGAAGGCTATGGTCCGAGATTTTGACAACTCCTATGACTCATTGTAAGCATCCACGGCCTAAGACATTCGCATTGATTTTGAAACCGTCGATGTTCTCTTTCAGAAGCGACGTCCTCGACCTCTCGTGTCGTCTCGACGCGTCTCACACATCGTCCAGATACCGGGGCTCGACCTCTCGTGCTTCTCTCGTGTCTCGACTCCACCCGAATCGGTCAGGAGTGTTGGCCAGCCGACTGGGGCCATTACGGCCCCTTCTTCGTCCGGCTCGCGTGGCATTGCTCGGGCACGTGGCGTATCACCGATGGGTGCCTGGGTTGAAGCAAGTCAAGAATGAGTGGGTTCACAAGAGATGCTCATTGTGCACAACTGGTCACCGGTGCGGTGGTAGGAAGACCATCCTCACTGCTGTATATACTTATTAGAGTGTCGACCCCCACAAGTTGAACTTGAAGGGTTTGTTCCTTCATAAACTTGGTAAACTTCACAATGTTTAATCCTGTTCAATCATTTCAGAATATTTATTCCCAATTAAGGAAAGGTTTTTAATGTTCCATCATTTGTCCACTTGGGAAGTCATCTAAGAGGTCCTTTCAGACAACAGAGCAGCTGGGTGGTGGGGGATTGTAGCTTTCAGAGGGTGAGCTTCCAGTGGTGTCGTGGACGTCCCTGGACCGGCCCAGACGTTGAATGACCCTGCTAGGGCCCACTGATGAAGAAGCTCTTGCACCACCGGACTTAGATAACTTAGTTGTTGTATGTATGCCATGCTATCCGTCGCTGGGTTTCAACGGTGTCTTTGTTGCAGGGAATTTGTCCGTCGAGGTTTCTTTGGGAGTCTGGCCTCATGTGTCTGAGAGATCTCTCAAAGATTTGTCACCTCAAACTGGCCTGAAACCCTGCCGCAGTCTTTTGACGATGACGTGGCAAAAGACCGGTTGCGAACTCGAACGGATGACGAGAAAGGGTGATTGGCAGCAATGAAGTAGGCAGGCATACGTTTATAATCGTGCATCATTTTGCATCCCTACTCGAATTTTGTCGGGATATATGTATATGTTTACGATACTGATCATTAGCCTCTTTAGGTTTTACAGTGATTTTACCATATTTAACAATCATTACGTGCAACACACAGGCACACACAGCATGCTGTGTCGCTCACAACCCCCAAAAGAAGAACAGCCGAATCTCAGCTCCGCCGGCAAACACCATCCCTATAAAAATGAAGAACAAAGAACTGACTGGTGCGACGAAAGCAGGGAATGAAGGAATGACCCTCCACTATAGATACCTTAGGATCCATTTCCCCAATCATTCTCATCAATTCTCTACATTCCTCTACTAAGTAGGAGTCATTTCCAAATCATGGTCGGCCCCAGGCGCGGTGGCTGCGCCGGTGGCCGGCAGCGCTTTGAGCCGGCCGCTCTCTTTGAGCTGAGCGAACGACTGGGTGACAGTCGGTCAACTCCGTCGGTCGTCGGACGTTCCTTTTTTCCCCAACATCTCCAAGACCACTCTGCCGAATTCCAGACTTGGGGGCAGTTGGTCCATGTTGGTCCCATCTCTCTTGTTGTCATCCATGTTGCATCCATGTAGAAAGGACGAACTTGAAAGAACTGAGCTGTTTCACCAGCCCTCCGGTTCGTCGATGGTGATGCTCAGCGTCAAAAACGACCCAGGAGAGGTCCTGGGCCGACAATACCAACCTGGACAAGGCACGTGTGTGGGACTGGGGTGGATTTTCACGTTCCCTCACTGGGTGAATCGGACGAGGGTTTGGTCTCAAGACATGCTCTTATGTTATAAGATCTCAAGAGGCGAAGCCAGAGGCGAAGCATAGGGCAAAGCATTCGATTTGAAGGAGCATGGATTGAACATTCAGAATAATGATGATTCATTTATGGTTTTGATGGTTGCAATATCAGAACCATCCTGGTTTTGCTAGGGATTTAGGCTGACAAACAACTAAATGAGGCCAGAAATCCGAACTTGTTTTGCTGAGGATTCTAGACTACGACCACCAGGGATAAACACATATAGCAATTTGTGGTGTTGGAAGTGTAGGTGTTGGCTTGTTCGAGGCCTTTGTAGAACTGGGACTGAGCTCGGGGACCATGTAGCTAGAAACGATGCTAAGACACTGATCAGGATATACATGTATCATGCTATTGCAAGATAGCAACAACCAATAGATCGACCGCAGCATGTCAGCCATTTTTCTGAAAGAACCTATCCACCTCGCTGGGGGTGGATTTCCAAGGCATGCTTCCCAATTTGGGGGGCAGGGTCGCCAGTCTGCAGGCGCGCGCCTTGCTGTGGCCCATCAAGTCCAAGCTCCTTCAATGAAAGACGGTCTGGGAAGAAGGTCTAAGGGATGAAGACCTGAAAGCTCTAAGAGCTTTGGTTTGCTGCGGTGGTATTCACAAGTTGTGGGAATCTTAGTGTCTATCGGCGGTGGAATTTGCCCATCAACAACATGTCATTTTGTATGTAGTAAGTAGAGGCTCCTTAGCAGGCGGTGCATGTGTTGACGGGCCATTTTAACCAATCAATTCTTTTCTAGATTTGGTGAGGGTCAATCAGCTGTCGTTCGAAGATGTTGGAAGTACTTTCCTCAACTTCCATTGCATTGGCAAACCCATCTGCCAGCGGTTTTGTGGTACGTTGGTGTGTGGTGTCTGGCTGGTTGAGTCTGTTTGTGGTTTGCCCGCACTTCCGTACTTGTGTGCGTAGTCAAGCGTTGCATTGGCATCGGCAGGAAGAAATGAATAAACTGCCCTCCCAGTCTCTTCAAAGTAAAAGAGCAAGAAATAATACGTATATTATACCTACCAACCCATGAATGCATTGCTGGATTTTGCTCATTCTTGGCAGTGGCCAGGAGCTGTACTGGGGCAGTATCCGCACATTGGTCGTTGCAAGCGAGTGTGGCAACAGGTTTTGCAGTCTTATCATGTAGTGCCATCAGCTTGATTGCCAGGTATATGGGCAGTAGGATCGTCGGGTTGGGGTTAGAAGTACTTTCATAGGAGGCGATGTTGGAGACACAAACATTCTGCAAGATCACATCTGCAGAGCAAGTACAATCCCAGCTGAATGAAATCATGGAAAAGAGCCGGTCGCTGGCCCCTTTTCCCACTCAAAAGCCTCAAGTCTGCCCTATTTTTTTCAAAGAGTGAACTGTCCCGAATGGATGACCCACCCAGATGGGAACTGGCAGATGGTCTCTTGCACCCTCGCCGCCCTCGTCTTTATTCATCAACACCAAAAAACGGAACCAGAGGTTCGTTCGGTCTATGGCTTCAGTCTTTGGAACTGGGACTCCCAGCGACATCGTGGTTTGCCTGGATGCCCCTGGGGTCACCAACCGTCACCCACCTGCCGGACCCGGTTTGGGCGACGCACCCTCCGGTCGGACCCTCCGGATGGAACCTCCGCCGTCCGGGAAGCGGGTCGGAACCGGGTCCGGTCGGATCGAGCGGCTCAAGCCTTTCAGGTTTGGGGCGGGGCTCAGTTGGGGTGACCTCTTCACCTTGGCCGCTTGGTGGAGCTTGGGCGTTTTGGGGCCCTGGAAAGTAAAAGGAAGATCGGGATGGACTCCGTTTTGGCACACTGTACGTATGGAAGAGGTCAACAAATCCGTGGTTCTTCATGACTTCATGCTGCGTCCATCCGCGTTTTATGGAAGATGATCCATACTCCATGTACATATAATTCCAGCTCGATCTAACAGTGCAACTTGACTATTTACTTTTGCCGGGGGGCATAGGACATAGTGACCAGTGGTCATTTCAGGTATGGATCGTTGTGGGTCCATTCTTTATCGAAATGACGCCGTATGCCGTTGATCGGTTGATCGGCGCCCTCACAAGCCGGTGTGTGTGTGTGTGTGTTGTGCATGGACTGTGTGCTACACATGTGAATTTATCATTTGGTGATTTTTTGGGGCCAAACGCAGACACTTCTGCTATTGGTAGCAGAGAGAGGTGCTGGAATCGTGGCCTTGGACGAAGCATTCTCTTGAAGGAAAACATCTCCAGAAAGCCACCAGAGAAACTAAGAACGTGAGGCCCCCACCATGTTTCACTCCTTTTCCACAAAAGGCCATGGTCTGATCCCAAAACATGTCAAAGAGTTTTGGTGGTTTGTTTGGGTGGAGGCCATCGCTATTAGGAGCAAGGACACTACTAGGGGCTCCTGGCCTTACTACTAGGATCTACTAGGAACAAGAAGCCACTAGGGGCTCCGGGCATCGCTACTAGGAGCAAGGACGCTACTAGGTTGGAGGCCATCGCCAGGGCGGACTCCTGGGGTGTTCCCACCGCCCCCAGGCCGGCACCGCCGCCATCAAGATGATGGGCGGCCCCATCACTGAGTACTGCGCGGGGCGCATCGATTCACCGGATGGCACCTGGGCAGTGAGGGAGGGCTTGGAGTCTTGGAGCGAGTTGGACAGAGATCGTCAGAGCTTGGAAACATGTGGGATTCACCGTCACTGCTTCTGAGATGTGGGTTGATTTGACATCTCATTCATCTCAGAACATTTCACATTCAGATGCATGGTCATGTTCACTTCTTCTTTGTCATCCTCAAATGTTTTTTGTCCAGAGACCATTCGGCGGCCCCCCACGTCTTGGACGGCCACGCGCCTTGCTGGAGCTTGGGCAGGTACCGAGAGCTTGGATTTGGGCCCCAGCGAGGAGCAGAGGCCGAGGGCCGCGCGCGACCGGGCGGGTTGGAACACCATCGGTGGCCCCGGGGGGACCAGTCCCATCGAGCGGGGGCGAGCGGGGCCCGCTCGGGGCGCTGATCGAAGGCTGGAGTCGAATCAGGTCAAAGAGATGTGCTAATCAGGTCCGAGGTGCGAGAGGTCGTTCGCATGCGGGTTTTCAGGGTTTTGGACTCACGAAGGATGTCTCCGCATCGCTACTGCACCAGACATCGCGGAGACATCCTAGATCGTCGGGATGGACTTCACTACGACGCGGCTGGAGGGTTCTCTGGCTGTACCAGAGAAGGTGATGATTTGTAAGAGGGCGAGCTCAGGCAGTTGAACTATGATGGGCATGATTGATGATGATGATGATGATGATGATGATGATGATGATGATGATGATG